TCCCCAGTCCTGACTTCAGTTTCCATGCTGATGAGTACCTAGAGGTCTACGTCTCAGCCTCTGAGCACCCTAACCACTTCTGGATCCAAATCATTGGCTCCCGCAGCCTGCAGTTGGATAAACTTGTCAGTGAAATGACCCAGCACTATGAGACGAGTCTGGTGAGTTGTCACGGGTTTGACAGAAAGGATTCTACTTCCTCATTGTAATATATTCTGTTCACGTAAGACAACAACTTGTTCATTCTTCCCGCTGGTGTTCCCTGGTTATCTCTTTAGCTACCACTTCTAACTCTACCCCTCTTGACTCCTCCCCATGTATAGCCTGAAGACTTGACTGTGCATGTAGGAGACATTGTAGCAGCACCTTTATCTACCAATGGCTCCTGGTATCGAGCTCGGATCCTTGGCACCTTGGAAAATGGAAACTTGGACCTCTATTTTGTTGACTTTGGAGATAATGGAGATTGCCCACTGAGGGACCTCAGGGCTCTCAGGTCAGTGCAGAGGCCAGGGTGGAGTTGGTTCCCAGCTGTTGTCTCACCCCTGGTCACAGAGTGGTGAGCACTTATCAGCAGGAGGTTTTGGGGAATCCAGGAATTTGGAGAGGGGAATCTGTTTATAGAGTACAGACGATTTTCTTGTGTTGGCTTAGTTAATTCTATCTAAAAATCAAGGAATCCAAGAAGGCCCTCCTGGCCTCCTTAGGGTCCTAATTTCAGTTTCTTTCACTTTAGGAGTGACTTCCTAAGCCTTCCATTTCAAGCAATAGAATGTAGTCTGGCACGGATCGCCCCCTCAGGTAAAGCACTCGTCCCACCCACTGGTTTTGCCTTCACATAGAAGAACTTCCATGTGATACATGCAGGAACACACATACTCTCAGGTTTTTCTAGTTGTAGAGGTTCTGGTGCCTTTTTCTTAATAGCTCTAGAAACTTGCCCCAGAATCAGAACCAAACCCAGTATAGAGTAACATAAGTGCCTTCCTGCGTAGATGGGTAGTGACCCTTCAGTCACTGACCCCTTCTGCAGCACCCATGCACACTGCAATCTCCTGCCAGGTGAGCAGTGGGAAGAGGAAGCTTTGGATGAGTTTGACAGACTTACCCACTGTGCTGACTGGAAACCACTGGTGGCCAAAATCTCTAGCTACGTCCAGGCTGGGATCTCCACTTGGCCAAAGATTTACTTATATGATACCAGCAATGGGAAGGTAAGAGCGAGGTTCACTCAGACTCCCTGTGTCTTCTGTATTTTCATAATGTCACCTACATTTGCTTTCCCAGAAACCCTAACCTGGTATTGTTTCTGCTTTGGAAGATCCTGCTCACCATTCCATCAAAGACCTAGCTTTTCTGTCCCTTTGCCTCCGATCCTCCCTTCCTTGCAGAGGGAACCTCATTCTCTTTTTGTTCTTCTCAGAACCTGGATATTGGGCTAGAATTAGTTCGAAAAGGATATGCAATTGAGCTTCCTGAAGACATGGAAGGAAACGGAGGTGTCCCGGACATGTTGAAGGACATGGTAAGCCACTATAGTACCTTAGGGTCTTCCCAGAAAAGTAGTGTGCGGAGACACAGCGAGGGCTTCTGGTCAGGACATGTGGTTCACCTCAGTGACTTGCAGCCTGTTCCTGTCTCGTTTTCCTGTTCTTAGGCCACAGAAACGGATGCTTCTCTTGCTAGCATGCTCACAGAGCCCAGAAGAAGCCCCGAAGAGATAACACATACCTTGTCCTGCCTCAGCTTATCAGGTACAAATTGTTGCCTGCTTACAGCATCTTTGGAGGTTAACTTCTCCCGATGAGCATCTCCAATTAGGGGGTTTAAGTTAAAGTACAGTTCTTGGGTCATTAAGCACTGAGAGCCCAGTTTTGCCCCGGCCCCACTGTCAGTGCCTATGGAATAGGGCAGTGTCTTTCTCCTCGCTCTCAACAGAAGCTGCCTCTGTGTCTGGTGACGATAACCTTGAAGACGACTACTTACTCTGAAGTCTGGGCTTCAGCTGGCTCAGCCATCTGCTTTGCTGTGAGTGGAGTTGTCTGTAGCTACAGGGAAGAAATGAGGGTGACAACAGGGGCCTTGCTTTAATTCCCTGTTCCCTGCGTCCTCTCTTCCTGTATTCTCTGCATCAGCTTTCCTGCAGCTTAACTTACTCTCGGTTGAGCCCTCTCAAGCTTTTTGTCTCTATTTGTATCTTTGGCAGGCTCTGGCACAGGATTTGGTTCCTGGAGAGAAGTCCATAAAGAGACACAAGCAGTCCTTCCTTTTTAAACACAGTCGGGCTTGCTGTGGACCAAGTCTATTTTCACCTGCTGTTGGATGAGAGTGGCCCAAAGGAAGACATACTACACCTCCCTCCCATGTCACCCCAGCCCTCCTGTGTCTTCAGTGTTTAGTGCCGTTACTTCCAGGCTCTTCAGCCTCAGGCTTGGTCCCCCTGCCAGATAAAGCAGCTTGCTGCTCGGCTGTGTCCTCTTTGAGTCTGGGAAATAGCTAGGGCTTGGTCCTTGGGAGCAATGATGATTCAGCAGACTTGAGCCTCACCTCGGCAGGTGACTCTCATTAAGGGAAGTTTTAGGGCCGGGGAGATGGCTCAGTACAATAAGCGCTTCCCTGGCAAGCACAGGGCCTGAGTTCAATCCCCGGTTCCGCGAAAAAGAAAAAAGGAAGTTTTAGTGACTGGACTCAGGCTGAAGTTGAGTCAGAAGGCAAAGGCAAAGATGAACATAGATTAAGCCTCGGAGGCAGGAGAATGCCGCCTTCCACCTTGAGTTGCTGGTGTTATTGGAGACAGATTTTTGGAACTGTGCTCCAGCTATTTCTTGTAAACTTTAGTTTAAAAAAAAAAAAAATGGTGGCTCAGAAAATATTCTAAATTGCTAAATAGTAGCCATATGTGTATAAACACACCAAAAGAGAACACGCACAATTCAGTTTAAATCATTTGAGGGATTCTTTGCTAAATAAAGTTCTCAGAAGTACCTAAAAACAGATGTTCATTGAATCGTATTAATGACTAAGCACCTTTTCCTGTGAAGAAAGTACCCTCTGAGCCTAAATCCGGCGAGACTCACTGCTTCATGGAAAGGGGCTCATGCGTGCACCTCTGTGCTCCCCACCAAATCCACTCGGGGTTAGGCTGTGTACATGACATCTCCTGTCCATTGATCTTGGCGTGAGGGAAGGGGTCGTGTCTGGATTAGCATTCTAGGAACGCGATTCTGGGGACGGGTCTCCACTCTGTGGAGCCTGGCTCCTTAGAGGGTCCTTCCATCTCTGGCAGTGTTGTGAGGCTACAGCACAAATGGGAAGGTCCCGGAATGTAGAATACTGTGGGGCAGAATAATGGCAAATGAACTTGCAAAGCTAAACTGGAAAACCTAGCATATTAGGGTCCCTTACATCAGACCTTAATAGTGAGGCATGCTACATGGGAGTCATATTTTACCACTATTGATTTGCAAATTTTTTTTCTTAAAAAATCTCAGACCAGGGGTTGGGGAGGTAGCTCAGCGATCTAAGCACCTGCCTTGCAGGCACAAGGCTCTAGGGTCCATCCCCTGTACTGTGTGCTGTGCCAGCCCTGAAACCCCGGGTGTGCCATGTGAAACTAGGTATGGTGGCACATGCCTGTAATCCCAGCGCTGGGGAAACTGAGACAGAAGGTTCATTATGAGTCCAAGACCCTGTATCACCAACAACTACTAAATAAATAAAAAACTAGTTTAAAAAAAATAAAATCTGAGGGCGAGCCAGATAGCTTAGGGGACTAATGTGCCTACTTAGGCAGCTTCAGGGACCAGGGTTCAATCCCCCATATACTCCGCACTTATGCTGGTGCCACTACGGGGGTGTGCTAAAATGAGGACAGACTGGTGTGGCAGTGTGTGCCTGTAATCCCAGCACTTGGGAGGCTGAAGACAGGATCACTATTGAGTTAGATCTGTGTAGTGAGACCCTGTGCTAAATATATTAAAAAATACATATCTCAGACCACTTAGCTTAAAGGATCTTGAGGTGGGGCAGCACTTAGCTTTGTAGTAGTTTTAGAAGTAGCCAGACATCTCAGGCACTGGTGCAGTATACTCCCTGAGGCACATTCAGCCCTAGAATCAGAGCTGCCATTGGACAGGATCCTGAGGTCTCAGTCCCTGGTGGCCTTAATCTCAAGGATAGCAGTCCCCTGATAGGGGTTCATCAGCCTTCTGGAAAGTTAGTGTCTCCTACCTGCAGTTTGTTACCATGCTTTTTTGGAGGGTTTTCACTACGCAGTTCAGTCCATTCTGGTCTTGAACTCACAGTGATCCTCTTGGCCCAGGCATCTGAGTGCTGGATTTATAGGTGTGTGCCACACCTGGCCAAAAAGTATTTTTTAGGATACAAATATTTGTTATTAAATCAGTTTATCTAAATAAACATAGGAAGAGCACACAACAAATACCATAAAAATCTCTTCTGTAAGGATCCGTTGGTCTCTGAGTGTGATCCATTGTATCCAGTATCAGGAGTGAGGAAAAGATAAACAAGAGCTGGGTCAGGTGGTGTACCATCTGCCTGACTAGCGAGACCTCCAGCAACATGGGAGGGGCCTTTATACTTTTGCAAAGTTAGTAACAGGTGACACAAGTTTGCCTAGTAACTACTAAGCTGACATTAACCAATCAGGATGCTTATTTCAGGACTGAGGTAGGTTGACTGCTGTAGGCACTGAGGCCTAGTCCCGCTTTCACACATTTGACCAATTTCCAGCTTCCGTGGCTCCAAACATCTCCCTTTTTGTTGTGTGAATGATGGGTGTTCTGTTGCAATTGGAGAAGCTGTGTTTTGAGAACTCTTTAGAGGACATTTTCATTCTTGATGTCAGTGCAAAGGTACTTGGTACTTGAATTCAGCAATATAACCCTATATAGTTCAATAGTCCATTATAGTAGTTACCAGTGCAGCTGGCAATTGTCAGAAGTTGTTAGTGATTTGAGCATTTTACAGCTTAGCATCATAATATGGTGTTACTTCACATACTTTTCTGCTGGATGGTTAAGACCAAGTTAAAGCAAGACCTGTATATGAATTTAACTTTTGTTATCTGACAAGGTCAGTTAAATGTCAGAATATACCTTGGAACCATGCACAGCACCTCTTAGATCTGTCACTGTCAGCTATCTGAATGAGTTATGGCCATTGCTTCACCAGTTTGCTTTTTGTGAAGGCTTGAGAGATATTTTTCTCTCCAGGTGACTCTCCTTAAACACACACCATATATTGTGGATCACTTTCCTTGTGGTCATGTGATCTCCTTGATCAGAAAATTAGGAACTCTACTGAGTTACAGGATGTCACAGCAGAGGTTCTCTTGTGTCCTGAGTCCTCATTGACCTGGAAGGGCTAGGGCCAAAATATTGGCTGTCCTTTTAGCTCATCTATCTCTAATTTTTGTTCTCCAAGTCTCAGTTGTTAAGCATCCAGAAGAGAAAGCTCAATGACATTACCCTGAAACAGGCAGTAAACTTAACATTACTATCTATCTGAATATCAAACACTTTTGAAATAAAATGAAACTTACTTTCTGACAACCATGGATATTCTAATTATTTAAATCTCTAAGAGCCAGCCAGATAGCTCAGCAGATTAAAGTACCTGCTTAAGCAGATGCAGGAGCCAGGAGTTTGATCCCTGGTCTGCCTGCTGGCCCAGCCCCCAGGGCACACTTGAGAGGGTGAATGAGACTGGGTGTGGTGACATGTGCCTGTAATTCAAGTGCTTGGGAGGCTGAAAAACAGCAAGGATCAGTACAAGTCTGATCTGTGTAGTGAAACCCTGTAGACTCTGTACTAAATACATTTTTTAAAATATCCCTGGGGCTGGGGAGATGGCTCAATGGAATAAGCGCTTCCCTGGCAAGCGCAAGGGGTTGAGTTCAATCCCCGGTTCCGCAAAAAAAAAAAAAAATTCCCTATAGAATGTTAACAGACAAGGGCTGAGGAGGTAGCTCTGTGGTCTAAGTGCCTGCCTGGCAAGTGAAAGGATCCAAGTTTGATCATTTGCATCACATTCTGTGCCACCAGAACCCTGGGCAAAATATGCTGACCCCAAAATTGGGTGTGGTCACGCATGCCTGTAATCCCAGCACTGGGAGGGCTGAGACAGGAAGATCACTATGAGTCTGAACTGTGTAGTGAGACCCTATAACAAAGTTTTTAAAAAATTAGCAGACAAGTTACATATTTTTACACAAATTTAGAAATCATGTACAACATTGTACAGACAAGCCTGATGACAATTTGTGACAAATTTTCATTTGATAAAACACCTTTAACCAATTATCTGTGATACATAAGAGATTTTCACCTAATTAGTAATTCTTAAATGGGATATAAATTCCCCACTCTGCAGAACTTTTGCTTAAATAGCTTAAACTTTTTGATGAACTGTATAATAAGCCAATTTTGATATCACTTAAACCAACTGCTAACTTAGGAGAAAGCATGCTATTAAGTCTATATCTCAAATTATATTATGAATAAATGATCAAAAAGAAAAAGGAACAACTGTGCACAGAATAACAAACAAATACACAGAGCACACAGACATCTTTACAAAATCAAGAGTGCACTCATGTATTCCTGACCAAATTAAATTATAGTGACTATTTTTTAGGAATTTGTTATTATAGACTAGTCAGATTTTGTTATTTGTCCATTAGCAGAGAGCTCTTATCAGAAAAATTTGGAAGGGCTCTTGCTCTTTGCCACCACCATGAAAGGTTGCTTTCTGCTGTGCTGCTCTGCCTTGGAGCCAGCTGAATATGGACTGAAACCTCCAGTAATTGTGAGCTAAATAAACCTTTCCTTCCTTCAATTTGGGTGTCGGGTATTAGTCCCAGCAACGAGAGAAGAGTAGCTAAGACAAAATTTGGTACAGGAGGAGTGGAGTTGTTGCTGTGGCTCAACCTGACTATGTGGATTATAAGCTTTTGGGAATGGCTTATGGGAAGAGATAGGAGATGTTGCCTACTTGTGAAGAGCTGGAACAGCTTCAGCTGTCCTGTAGGGGAGATTCTGGTCCTAGCTCAGAAGACTGGAAGGCTGATGGAAAGCTACCCTGTGAAGACCAGGCTGGGGAGGTTTCTGTTGGGAAGAAGGACTGCATTGGTTGTTGGGCTCCGGACAATGTCTGTTACAGCTTGGCAGGAGCTTTGTCTGCATTTTGCTCGAGTCCAGAGACTGCCTGAGACTGAGTTTAAGCATGGTGACTGATTGATCATGGTGACTGATCAATCTGGCAAAAGATACTTCAAAGCAGCCAAGTATTGGGGCAGTGACCTGCTTGGTCTTGGGGCCTTTTAGCCAGATTTATGTTGAGAATCAAGAGCAAAGAGCTGAGCAGGATGATTTAAAATGTTGTGAGTTCGGCCAGAAAGGAAGTGACAGGAAAGCTATGGACTGCAAATCTGAAGCTGAGCTCTCCATTGCAGGGAAGGAACCAGAGAATGGAAAGGATGGAAAGGATGGCCTGAGGGCATCACAGGAGGCCGCAGGTCTCCACCATTTGCAGTCTCAGAACTACAAAGGTCAGGGACTCTGCCT